AAATGAATTAATATAAATGGTGAAAGCAGTGGTGAAGTTCACATACACAGGTTCTGTGTCTGGCAGTCCTGTAAACCCGCCAGTTGCACCAACAAAAGTTTCAGAAGTCCCAAGTGGTGTGAAAAGTCACACCCTTAAAGGATGGTGTGAGCTGCTAAGGGGAGGATGGGTCAAATGCTGAAGTGCTTCAATATCCTGATCTGAAAAACCTTTGTAAATCTAGGCCTGATTGTTTAGATGGATGAATCAAAATGCCATACCTTGCTTTCGGTAGAAAGCAAGTGGCCATTTCTAAGTGTGGAAAATAAGAAAACTTATTCTCAGTTCCTGCAAATGGAAAACTGGATGCTTTGCAGCATCTTCATTTTGTGTTAGAACCAGGTGGAAAGAAAAAAAAGAAACTAAACCAAAGCAATTTGTTGGTTCTTAAGAGAGAATGTCAAAATTATTTGTGTGCATCTCTGTTAAAAAAAATATTTCAACTTTTCTGTCTTATTTTCTCCTATTTTGACTAGAACTGGAACTGATTTAAACCAAGTGCTGAAGTAGAAGAATATTGGGTCACTGTTTTTCATCTGCATCTAAGGTTTTGTGTAGCATTACTTACGAATAGGGGTGATGAACCATTTGTCCTGGGCCATTTGTGGACCTTCCAGGAGTTCAGAGCACCTGCACTTGAGAGCCTCTTCTTTAGCCAGAATGGCACAGCTCATGTAACTATCATGGTATCTCCCAAAATATAACACCACTTGGCTTTGCTTCCTGTGGAAATTGCTTTAAATTTTGTCTTCTCTGGACTTTTGACTAGTGAATCTTTCTGTAGGGTTTTGATTGGATATTCTTCATCCTAGGTCTCTTAAGAGAATTGTTTTGGGCTGAAAAATGTGAAGGTTGTATTTGTTTGTTCTGGTTTGGTTTTGATTTTTTTTGTCCTCGACTAACTGAATGAAGCTGTGACTTTATTATTACAACCTGGATGTTCATATGAAAATTGGAATACTCCTGTGCTCTCTAGCTGCTAGTTTATGCTCACTAGCTTAGCTAAAGCCCAGAGTATAACCTCTTCCTGCAACTTCTTTTCATCCAGTGGTTGTTACTCATGCTAGTTATTCACTGGGTTGCCCTTAATTCAGCCCACCTGCCTCACTAGTACCTTCATTTTCTTCTTCTTGAAACATGTCATCTGATCACTGAGACTTTTTCTCTCTGCTGCTTTAATCATAGTGTTGCAACATCCTCAGTTGATGGCAAATTCCATCTTTATCCTCACCGTATTCACATCTTTGCTACTTACACACTGCTTGATTATCCGTTTATATAGTGCTGCAGATGTTATTTAATAGGCTTCTTGCTTCAGTCACATCACTCCCAAATTTTACACTGCATGAGGCATTTTGTGTTTAAAATAAATTGTAGCTCCTTGTTTCTGTAGTCCCCTGGTGACATGCTGTGTTTTCACACTTCCTTGTGCTCTTATGTGTGTTGCCCTCTGGTTAGGGCACATGACTGTTGTATGACACCTTAAATGTGCTGCCATTGCAGTTAACAGTGAAAGTGGTAACCACTGGTTTTGGCTACGCTAGTTTTGGAAAAAGAAATCTGGAGGAGGGGTTTCTATACTTGTTTTGGAGTGATGGGAAATGCAATGAATAGCAAGAAAATAACCTCTTTCTATTTTGCGCTTGCATACAAGTACTTGCTGTCTTGAGACTGCGTAGCTCTGAATTCAGCTAGAAAAGCCAGCAGCTAGTGTGCTGGCATTCTTCCTATTTCATCTTCTGCAAGAGAAAACCTAACTGTAGGCATCCAGCTTTCTATGTGTGGAATATTAAGACGTGATTGTAAAACTGCTGCAGCAAAGGGTTCTGATTTGGTTTTGAGTTTGCTAAGTCTTGTGCAAAATGGACGGACGTAAACTTCTGAACACACTCATTTGGGTTCTTAAGTAAATAACTCATACAATCACCACAGGAAAGCTGTTATGGGCAGGAAAATTGTTGTCAACCTGCAAGTTTGTCTTGGAGAGAAAGACTCTTTTGCCAGCTTCCCACTTTTGACTGATAATGCTCCTGATTCTCTGTGCTTTCATGTCAGTACAGATTGACCTGATCTTTGTTAATGGCAAGAATATTCTTAGGGAGCCTAGCATAAATTATGAAAGCTCTGTTTGAAGAGAAAACTTTAAATGAGTCAAATAGTTTCAAAAAAATTCTTTTTTTTCTTTTCTCTAGGTTATTTATCTTTCTTGCATAAGCAAATACTGTAGGCTCTTAATCCATCTGGAAGAAAGGCTAAAATCAGTAGAAGTGCTGAATTAGGGTTTCAGGCAAAGCATGTCTGCTGACATGATATGGTATTTCAGTTACAACGGAGACAAAGCATAGTTTGCAGACTGCAGAACAAACAGCATTTGTTAAACCTTATGTTGGCCATAGATTAACAATTAGTGTTGCCAAAGCATGAATATCACAGTCTGAGTAGATACCTAAGGGTGTAGAGTGGACAGGAAGCATTCAGTAGAGAGACACAGATACTGAAATCAAAGACAAGAATAAAGGACTGTGAAGCTAAGGAAGAAGATTTAGTAGGAATCCAGAATACAAGGAAGCAACTGAGAAGAAAATAGCAGATAGATAATGGCAGCTAGCTCAGCTAGCTTGGGTTGTAGCAAGGACTGGAGAGAAGAAAGATTGGACAGGCTACTGAAGATGGGTGTTGTTTTAAAACATGTTTAATTTCATAAGTTTTTACTATGCTAGGTGGTTAAAAGTTAGTAAGTATGTAGTGCCTTTTGAGTTGCCTCCAAGACTACTCTTTGTTTAAAATACCTTCCTGCCTTTTTTTGTTGTTGTTTGGTTGGTTGGTTTGTTTATGTTTTTGGGTTTTTCTATAGATATGTTTTGTAGCACAGTAAGAGCTAGGGACCCAGAATTAATTTCCCTGTGTAACCTTCTAACTATGTGCTACATCATGGCATTTCAGGTTTCTTTTTAACATATAAATTGCAGTCCACTTAGTAAATAAAATGGATTACTTATGGTAACTGTTACTTATGGTAAATGTGACTAGTCAGACAACCTAAATCCTTGCCAGAGCTATTCCAGAGGCTTTAAAAAATCCTATTAAAAGATTTTGTTTGCAGGTGCTACAGAAGAGGATAAAAAAAACAACAAACAAAGCACAGTCTCGGCAGAGCATTCTATTGCTCCCTCTTTTGCCAAGGGCAGTTTTTACTTTTGAGACCACAGCTATAGGTGAAATTTGTCTCTGCTGTTTGTAAATAAAACTAAATTTCTGAAGAATCTGGAGTTCTTGGAGGGAATTTAGGAACAGGAAGCATGAAGCCTTATGTATTTTCTGCAATTATCATTATGCTAATTATAACAACATAAATGTCACAATCATGTTGTAAATGTTAAGTTTGAATCGTGTGTTAGTGCTGAGTGTAAACTGCCAGGATCAGAAGACAGTTTTTTTGAATGTGGGTAGTAGGGTGCATAATATGACCTTTTAGCACCCTTCACTACTGATTATTGAGTAAAATCTAAAGAAGCTGGACTGTTCAGAGCTCACAGTAACTTTGCAGAGTTTGAATTAAAATTATATTTATCATATCTGTAAGTGGAACTTCCTTAATAAAATCTTGCAAAGGTAACATGGAATTCCCTAATGCAAAGTCAGACGACTTAGAAAACTGTGTGTTTTTGAAGCATGATGCATGCAGAATTTAATTTGTATTTACCCAGTTTTTAGCTTTCTAATAGTAGTATTTGAAAAGTATTTGCTTTGTGCCTGTGTAATAACAAAAGCCAAAGTCATGAATGTGAAAAAATGACCTTGCTTATATTATGTACATTACACACTATTGCTTTTTTTGATTAAAAATCTGCAAAATACATAGTAGAGATAAAAGCTGTTGATATTTCATCCAGCCATTTTGGTTTAATTGAGTACTGATGTTCGCTACCTTGTTAGCAAAATCCTGAAGATGCTTCAGAGTCTTGAGAGAAAAAAAAAAATCTGAATAGGTTGCCCTCTTTGCTCTGTCCCTGGAGGGAACTGTTTTGTATTCTTGCTGTATCAATCTCCTTTTCTTCCTCAAGGATTAAAAATGTGTGCATTTTTGGGGTCTCAGGAGTCCTATCTGAAGACTTAGTATTAGGAAGCCAATTGAAAAAGCTCATCTATAATCAATGTTTTTGTTGTAATAAACAAATTCTGATATGCTTAGATTTGTACTACAGCTAATGCTTATTCTTTTCCTGAAACCTTTTTGCGTAGATGATTCTTTTTAACAGATTTTAATTATCTTGGCAATGTATACACACTTGAGAACTTTTACCTCACAAGCAGCAAACTATTTGAATTGCTTACAACTATCTCTTTGTACTTTGCAGTAGAGCCTCCATCTTTGAGTATTTCAACCTTTAAGTACACAACTTTCCTTCCTGGCACCATCACAATATAGGCTAGGGATTTCTTTACTGAGATGTTAAGCTCAGCTGCTTTGTGGCAGATAGAGAACTGTTCATTAAAAAGCAATTTCTTGCCTCCTTTCTACATGCACTGTAATTGCTAAACCTGCCAACAGTGTTTGAAAACTTAGGGACTTTTGGAAAGTTTAACATTTTATCCTGCTTGGAAATCAGATTACTGAAAGGTAGCTGTGGAAGACTGAAATAAAGAGATATCATCAATTTCATGCCATTAATTTCTGTTTCATATTAATAAAAAGTCAAGTGAAAATAACCTAGTTTGTGGATAAATATTTGTAAATTCTTGGATAGATTACCTCTTTTCTGGATAAATAATATTTGTTGATCTAGCTTCCTGTGGAAGCACTTCTTTTGAAGTCTTTTGACCAAGCTGCTTCAGCTACCTCAGAGCTTAAGGATGGCTCCTGCAGCGTGTTAATACCCCATAGAATAATTTTCTGCCTTTTTCTGTTGTGAGCAGACAATTAAAGTGTTGTTAACCTCATCTCTCTCTTCTCACACAAGAGCTCCAAGCGAGAGTGGAAGCCTCTGGAGGACCACAGCTGCACAGATGTACCATGGCTGCTCTTATTCATCCTCTTCTGCATAGGAATGGTGAGTAAAACTCAGATAATCCTGTAAATGTTATATAGTTAAAGAGTTTGCATTCAGAAGAAAGGAATTTTCAAACCCTTCAGTAACTTCATCACTGGGAAAAGTCAGGGTATATTTGCATGAGAACCTCTGGCTGTAGAACAGAAATGGGTAGTATGTCCTTTGTAGGGATCCATAATTTATTGTTTGTGCCAATTCTTTCTTCAGCTTCTCTTCCCCTCCAGTTTCATTGGTAAGTGATTTACATCATGAAGATGTATCACTTGAGTCACGTTTCTTATGGGGCTGGATGTCCCAGAAGTGATAGCTTTGAGTCTGGTAAACAGTTCTGTGAATGACAGTAAACTTTCTGTGAGAAACAAAGATCCTGAGTATCAAAGAGTTGACTGCTTTTGGGGGGGGGGGGGTTGGTTTGGTTTGTTTGGGGTTTTTGGTTTGTTTGTTTTTTGTTGCCTTTTTTTTTTCTTGGATGCTTAGTAGAAGCAGCTACTGTTAACAGCCATATTACTGGTGGTAAAATCTTTCTTTCAAAGTTATACCAGCTCTGTCCTGTGTGATGAAGCCATCACCTTTCTCAGGTCAGCCTCACAACCCTCTAGACTTTATGTTAAAAAAACAGACCTCCAAGAGCTGCAGATTAGTGAAAACTAGCAATACACTTCTTTTCATCTTGTTTTGCTTCATGCCGTTCTTCTTAGACAAAGAATGTCTGTTGCTGTCTTGTACTGCTGTGTTACAAGCAGTAGTCCTTAGGGGTTTGGGACTTTGATGCTGTCAGCTTTCTTTTCTGCTGTCCCTTGGTCTCTGGTGTTTGGAATAATTCCACTGAAAAATTTCTTCTACTTTCCCCAGGGTGTTTGTGAACGGCTGTGCTTCAAATGCAAAAATTATAACGATTATTTAAAATCATATGAATTACAGTGTCACTGTAATGTGGCTGTCTTAAAATTACAAAAAGTACAATAGTTTCTGAAATAAGTAGCTCTCTCTTTTGTGTTTGATTTTTTCCTGGCTTTATTGATGTTCCTTGGTTATTCGTGCATACTGACCTGTTCCCCCAGTAATAATTAGGTCTGCTATGCATGAGTGTCCCAAATTTTCCTGTCTAAGCAATATGATATACAGAGCAATTATCCTACTGGGTCACGTACCTTGTTAGTTACTGTTCTAGAGGACTTCATTTGAAGGGTCAGGTGCCATGACAAGCCAGGAGGACATCACTGCACACTTGTAAATTAGCTTTGATAGAGGAAGGGTTGCATGATTTGCCTGTGTGTAAGGACAAAAATTCTTGAACCAGCCAAGAACCTGAGGACTATTGTATGTAAAATGCATGCTAGTATGTCCTTTACAGGATAGTAGGGGATCTGAGAAATTAAAAGTGAGTGCTGGAAATTAGCTTGAATTATTATGACTAGTGAGCTTTTTGCTCACTTTGCCCTTGTTTTCAGTTTGAATATTAGGTCTATAAGTGCATTAGTGCATTGGCAAGGGAAACATAATGATTGGCTTGTTGTCTGGAATTGATAGCCTATCTGTTAGAGAAGGTCACTCTACTGTATCTTCACACCTTTGAAACCACATTTTCACTGTTCTGTGCTGAGTTCATTACCTGTTGTCATCATCTCATCTGATCCTCCCACTGCCATCTGTTGCTTCACGCATTTGTCTCAGCTGCTCAAATCTTAGCTTGTCTCACATGTGAAAACAAGTTCACTGGTGGTAGTGGAGTGAGCTGATGGTTCATTTCTGCCTGTCAGTGGTGGTGTCAAGGGTGCTTTTGCACCAGTCTCCTGTTTGCACAATCACCATCTTAATCTTGGTTTTGCTTGTGAAGTGTGTCTGAAAGTTCACAGCAAGACCTGCCTACATGTTGATATTTTCCACATTACACTGCCTGAGCCATCTTGCTTTGTGTCTGTTTCTTTCCTGCATTTAAATCCAGCATGTGGAACCACAGCAGCCTTGATCTGGTCACTTGTTTTAAGAGCACTTCCTTAAAAGAAACTTCTGTTAGATAGGCCTCTTCATTCTAGCTCATCTTTGAAGGCAAGTAATTTGAAGGAAAGAAAAAAGTCTGAAAGCAAGAAAATCTGGACTTTGTGGAATTCTCCAGCTCTGCTTGTAGCAAGCTCTCCTTTACTGCCTTCTCTTGGTCTCCCTTCTGCTTCATGCACAATTCACTGACAAAATGACTAACAAAAAAACCACCTACAAGAGTCTTAACTATGCTTGTATAATACTCAGTGTTGGATATCTCAATCCTCTTTTAGGTTACATTCAATTTTATCGTTGCACAACATCTCTCTGCGATGGTCCTTGCCTTTCCTTTTTCAGACCGAAAGAATTTTTAGACAACTTCTACTTACAAACAAATTAATAAAACTGGCTTCTCCCAGCTGTCAAACAAAATATTGCTAAACTGTGGATTGTTTGTTGTTTTTTTTATTTTCTCCTGCAGGGTTTTATTTGTGGCTATTCAATAGCTACAGGAGCAGCTGCGAGACTGCTTTCAGGATATGACAGTTATGGAAATATTTGTGGACAGAAAAATGTCAAGGTGGAGGGAATAGTCAACAGTGGTCTGGACCTTACACACAAGAAGTAAGTATGCAATTCAGTTGCTGCATTCTGTAAACCAGGAAAGGCAAAACCTTTCTTCCTTTGAGAGTGGTTTTCAATAAAATGGGAAAAGAGATATGCTAACTCATTCCTGCTTGTCATTTGGCACTTTTCTCACCTAGAGGACGACAATCTCTTGTAACAACCAGCAACAGTAGTTGGAGATGTGCAATATGAATATAGCTAAAGACATTGAGGAATTACCTTTTCTTGGTATCCACTTCATGTAGGATATTGTATTAGGCCACTGAAGAATCTTGTTTGTTAGAGTTTTAGGTGTGACAAGTATTTTCAGATTTAGGAGCTGACCTTTGATATTAATTTAGAAAGGTTTGCTTTTGATGTTGTATGCTCGGTTTCTGCTGCTAGGTGCAGGGGGAGATGAGGTATATCTAGCACATTAAACTGTAAGCAGAAAATGCGTAAGTGACTTGTGGAGAAAATGCACGAAACTTGTAAGCAGCTCACAGCTCTTATTAAGCAGTATCATGTTAAAACCCTTACTTACAGTTCAGGTATTTCCCATCTGTTGTACAGGAAAACATCCCACTGCAGTAGTAGTACTGGAGAAGTAACAAAAATTCTGGACTTACAGGTTTAAAACATCTGTTGAGGTCTGTCTGCCAGTCAGTGCCCAGAGTGCGTCTGTACAACTTGGGTGACTTAAGACAGTAAACTGTTTAGCCTGACCATTGAACAGTGGTATTAACAGACCAAAAAAAAAAAAAAAAAAAAGATGTTTCTTTCACTGTTTGATTCCTTCAAAGAATTAAAAAGCTACTAATTTCTGAGTATGATAACCTTTTGCTTCACACTTTCAGAGTAACAGAAAATCGATGATTTGCATAAATTATTTTGGAGGGATGCTTTCCTAAGATCTGCTTATTTGGAGTTGCTATACCAAAAACTTCTAAACACTTGATTTAAGATTTAATGTGGCTGGGTAATTGGTGGTTACCAGAAGGACTTGAGATAAATAAAATGGCCTGAAATATTGTACAGATTTCTTCTGTCAAAAAAAGCCCCACTTCTTAATTTAATCCCATCTTCCAGGAGGGTTGAAAGGCTTAAAATTCATGAAGCATAGTTTTCCTATTTTTTTACATAAACATTTTAATGGTTTCCAAATCCGTGTATATTCAATACAAAATCGGCATTCTGGCATTCTGAGATAAAATGCAAATTTTAAAATCATAATTTTAAACTTACTTTTAGAAAGAAATGGTGTCTGAGTTCGTGTGAAGGTAGAGAAATTTAGACACCTTGTTGAAATGTAGTAAATACTGTTGTAATAGACTGCTACATACGATAGAAATCACACCGTTATGTGGGGAAACATCTACCACTGCTTAGTGATTTCCTCTTGTAAAAGCAAGCTCAAAAGACAGCAAATAAAATGAGAGACTGTTTTTAACACAGTTAATAGACAGACTGTTGTTTATTGAGAAGTCTTAATGAGGTTCAGAAGGATTATGTTTTTGTAACAAAGATGTTGTGGCTTGAGGCATGACCTGAGCAAATTAACAGATACACTTATAAGGAATATCATCATCTCTATTTGCCTGAGAGTAAGAGAAAACCTTCTACCAAGGCAGATTGACTGTTCACATGAAGTGCCTGGTGCAGTCCAGGGTACCTAGTTTTGGAAGAGATTGGTTCTTATATAAGCGAGTGATCCTTCATTCTCTCACACCCTATAGTTTCTTCTGAAAAATTGCCAAGCAAATTTAAACAGCTATCTGCTTTGCATCTGTCTCTAGCAGATGGAATTTCTCCAGTGTCTGAGGTACAGTTCATGGGAGTATTTCATGCTATTTTTATAAGAGTACTTTTCAGACAGCCTGTAAAAATAAGCTTTTCTTCCTGCCTGTACATTTCAGTTTGTGTAGAGAAAGAGGACTTTTAGGATCCACAAATGCAGTTCTGGAAACATGAAGTTATTTCATTTTGCTGGCAGGGTAATTCTGTTTTCGTTTCCCAATCCAAGGGCAGAAAAGCTAAATCATCTGTAAAAATAACATTTTCTTTGTACGTGACAGCAACCCATAGGCACTGTCATGTGGAAATGAAATGAATGTTGCCTGTGTGGATATGGAAATCTGGGTGGTAAGGGTGAGGAGGACAGTCCTCACAGGGATATGATTTGCTCTGTGTACATCAGATATGCTGAAACCACTGAGATGAAATCTTGGGAAGGAGGGTTCTACAATTTGGTCTCATCAACAAAGAGCGGATCAGGCATCTTTTTATTTTTACTACAGAAACAACAGTACACTTTAATAGTCTAGAGTCAGACATGGCAGTGAATTCTAATTAAACCTATCTGCTTCAAGTAAGTTCCTTGCTTTACAAGTTCTGGTAGTTATAAGGGGCTTAAAAAAATGACGTTTTATTTGCAAATAAATGATGACCATGGCAGACAAATGTAAGTCCCTGAAATGCTAGTTCAGTCTGATTTTTGATCACCAATACTGCTTGGACAGAACTCAGTTTTTGCTGTTTACTCCACTATAAGGAGATGTGCATATGCTGCTATAGGGAATATAGCATTCCACCTTAACAAATGCCCTTGACCCCAGAAAATGGGGTTTAGGTAAGGGGAAAACCCAGGGAGAGTTTGCAAACAAGCATGCAGAGAATTTGGTTGAGTGAAACTGCATGTGCCCTACAGTTAAAGACATTTTTGACACTAGGCTCTCATCTTCATTTGACAGATTTATTGGCACAGATCAATTATGATATTTGGTAACTTGATCTATGTGCCTTGAAAAAGGGAACCTGAACAAAGAACAACCTGGGTAATTATTCCCTTTCAATCCAAACTCCCCATCCCTCACATGACAGTCCGTACCAATGGCAGTGTTCTGTAGTCCACATTGTAATATGGTTGTTATGGTTCATATACCATGCTCTATGGGCTGTACACTCTAGCTGTTAATTTTTAGGCAATGTTTAAGATGCTAGCTTCGTTTGTTCTAAGTATTGTTGATGTTCAGATTATTAGCTCCAGGTTTCACCTTATTGCTCTCTACAGCTACCTGAAAGGAAGTTGTGGAAAGGGGGGGGAATCAATCTCTTCTCCCATGTAGCAGTTGAGAGGAGGTTTAGATTGGACATTATGAAAAATTTCTCTGTCCATAAGGATTATCAAGCCCAGGGAAGTGACTGAGTCACCGTTCCTGGAGGTATTTAAAAGACGTGTTGATGTGGTGCTTAGGGACATGGTTTAGTCGTGGAGTTGTCAGTGTTGGGTTTACAGCTAAAAGATTCTATCCAACCTAAAAGATTCTATCGTTCTAAATCTACCCTCTTTTAGTTTAAAGCTGTTCCCCCTTGTCCTTTCACTATTTGTCTATGGGAAAAATCACTTTCCCTCTTTTTCATAAGCCCCCTTTGAGTACTGGAAAGCTGCTATAAGGCCTTCCCACAGCCTTCTCTTCTCCAGACCGAACAGCTCCAACTCTTTTAGCCTGTCTTCATATGCTCTGGCCCTCTCATCATTTTTGTGGGCCTCCTTTGGGCTCACTGTAATGGGTTCATGTCTTTCCTATGCTGGGGGTCCCAGAGCTGGGTGCAGTGTGCTGGGTGGGGGACCCATGAGAACAGACTAGAAGGGGAAAATTCATCCCCCTTGCCCTGCTGGGCTTCTTTTTACAAAGCCCAGGGTACAGTTGGGTTTCTGGGCTGCAGGTCTACATTGCAGGGCCACGTCCAATTTTTCATGCACCAGTACCCCCAAGTCCTTCTCTGCAGAGCTGACATTACATAAAGATGCATAAAGACACTTAATGTTGTAAGTCTGCTGTACTGATTTTCATATAGCAAACATATTTTCATTTGCAGTGTTGAAGCATCTCTAACAGTATGATTGCCTTGTTTACTTCAGTCTTTGTGTTGCTGATATAAGTTATTTTGTTATCAACAAATTAGTCTATTGTTGATTGTAAATAACTGAAATTGCAGCACAAAGCATGTAAGTACATTCTTCTAGGAAGAAACAAAACCTGGTCTGTGATGACACAGTATGGAATTTTCTGCAGTAAAATCACTTTTTTTCTATAAGTAAGCTTTGTAAACAAAAATAAAATTAACATTTTCTTCTGTAATGCTGGTGCCTGGCATTTTGATTCTTGTTTTAACTGCTAGAAATTTTAAAAAAAAAATCTTACTTCTGTCTTCCTAGACTACGTATTGAAGCCACAGATTTGATAGCTTGGAATTTTCTGTGCAACTCCCTTACTTCTGTCAGAGCTGCCTCTGCCACTGCAGTGCAGTGTTTGAATTACATGTGTCTCTTTAAGTGTATGCCAGCACAGCACACTTGTGTCAAAACTGCATGTGACACTGTAGCTGAGTTGTATTTTTAAACTTCCAGGCTTAAGTTAAAACGGTAGTATTTTACAAAATATTCCAGCAATTAAAATTACAACTTGGCCCTGAAATTTAAATTACTGTAGAAGTGGGCTGAGTTCTGTCTTGTCAGTGGCAACATTCCTCACCTGGTTTCCGTAGGTAATATGTGTTAAGGGACATTCAAAGAAGCCTTCTGTCCAGGAACTGGAGTCCAGCCCTATATATCCTGGTCTCTGCCTAGGCTGAGGGATGGGGATGGACTGACACATATGGGACGCTCATGCAGCTGGTTACACAGACTGGTACTGACAAAGTGCTGCTTTCAACAGCGGGACTCACAAACAGAAGCACAGACAGCCACGTCCTCTCCTCCTCATGGGCTCACAGAGACAGAAGGTCACTAGTGCAGGCATACATATGACACTTTCCAGGTTCACAAGCTCACATACATTTGTGGATCCCTCAAGTACCAGCACGGCACCTCTGCTCACCTGGCACCCCTGCCCCGTATCTGTCTCTTGAGTTCCTCCTACTCAGCAGCTGATCCAGCTTGGTGCTAACTAGCAAACACTCACACACTTGTTCCACAGGCACCCTGTGCTCACAGTTCTCTCAAATACCAGTGTAGAACCTCTGCCTACCTGACACCTCTACCTGGACCCAGAGCCTCCTACGTACCATCTGATGAACTCCTGGGAGTTACAACAGGAGTTGAACTCAATTATCCTTGTGGGTTCATTCCAAGTCAGGATTTTCTGTGATTCTGTAACATGTGTACACCTGCTTTGGCTCAACCCCTGTCAACAGCCAGCACCATGTGGGCTGTGACCACTTGTACTCAGTCCTTCACCTCTGTAGCTGGTTTTTTTTTGTGGATGCACATTGTTCCCACCCCAGCAGCCCATTGCCAAGACCCCTCTCTGCCCCAGTCACTGGCACTGAGACGCCACTCACTTCTGTAGCTGGCACCACAGGCCTGGGGCCCGTAAACCCCTGATCTGATTCTAGTTGCTGGCACCAAATCCTTCATGCCCATGCCAGTCTCCCCAGCAGCTGGCACTTAATCCCTGCCGGACTTGCAGCATCCATACACATGGAACAGAGACTGGAACTATGCAGAGAGAGAGTTAAAGGATTTAGTAATAGGATATGACAGGCTGCAGTGATCAGGTGCTGGGATCAGTGTACTGACCAACACCAGCTTGCATGCAACTGTCCCTTTTACACCCCTTTCTGTCTGCCACCCTGTCCCATGCACACCCCCTCAGCAGCTCACACAGTCCCACTGACCACTCCTACATTCTGTATCTGTGGGTTTGCATCCTTTTCAGCCACATAGTCCCTGTCTGCAGTTTCTTGATAGCCCATCAATTATTGTGATCGACTGGGTTTGTTTCTGATTATTAATATAATAATCTGATTACTATATTCTGATTCTGATTATTAATATAATATTAACACTAAGTGGTTAAGTTTTATGTCTGAGTGTCTCCCTCCTTTTCCTTATTATCTCAGTTTGTCAAGGTGCTTAGCCAGAGAGTCTTATAGAAAGTTAATAATTTGCAAAATCCACATATCCTTACCAATTAATGTGACTGACTGGGTTTGTTCCCATCCTAACCTCCCTTACCACATCAATCAGGTTTTACTCTGTAAGTTCTTGTTTGTGGCTTCTTTGACCAAATAACCTCAAATGAACAGACACTCTTCTTCCATGTACCCTTATACTATATAATAGCAACTGTAGAGACTTGCCCTCATGCAGTGGAAGCTTTGACAGGAGTGTTCAGTTAAGACAACTGTTGAACATCTTGGTATTAACTCAAGAGTATTTTCTTTGAAATAAAGGGAAATTGTGGCTTATTGCTCACATACAGTTGCTTTGATTGGTTCTATGAGACAGAATTTTCACGTTTGCATTTGCTTCTCAGACAATGGTCTATGGATTCCTGAGATGGGTAGTGTGTATTAAGTAGAAAACCCAGAAATAGCAGTGGATGATTTTCACTGAGATGTGGACAAGGAAAGGGAATGTTTTAAGAATGCAGGTAATTACCACATTACGGTTGATTTAGATTACATGGGGTTTGATGGACTTTCAGGAAGTAAGACTGTACTACATACTTATCATTCTTGTATACTGACACTGGGTAATAGAATAGTAGACAGCAATTAGTGTACAGACTGAAGTTGTTCAGGCAGGACCTAAATGCTTTCTAGGAATAGAAGGGATTTTACTGATTACAGAATGAATTCCCATCCTGAGGGCTGCAAAAATAGAAATGGCATTTTATATGGTGGTTTGGTATTGATTTCCTATGATAATGTTAGAAAATATGTAGAGAGTATTTCAATGTATAGTGTATCACCAGAATTGTAGGAATTTGAAAGACTTGTTCTACTTCCAAAGAGAAAGGCATTCTTCATCTGTATTATACCATCAGTGGGCAACTCTGTAGGTTTAGGGTTTGTGATGAAATGTGTATAGCCAGGAGATGTTAGCTAAGGATCTATAATATGTGCTTCAAATGGCAGTGACTCATCACGGAAAGTGAGAAAATAGAATCTCTTTAAAATACTGCACTTGAACATGAGATAGTTGCAATGAAATATCTGAACCATTTTTATTTCAAAGCAAATACTAAAGTAATCTGTTCAGTCATATGGTGTGGAAAATTGATCTAAACTAAAAAGCTGTTCTTGATTAGTGGTATTATGTGTTTTCATTAAAACAGCCATGGACTTTGTCCTTTTCCAGCATAAGGGTAACTTTATGGGGTTTATTGGATCTTTCTAGAAAAATTTGTCAAGTTTAAGGGTGGAGTGAAGGTTTGTGAATGTTTGGGCTCATATTTATGAAAAGGCATGGTAGGAGTATTACTGTTTTTAGGAATAGCACCATTTGAGTGGACCTGAATCAGGTAGAGTTAAACATCCTTTCTGTGTTATCCAGAGGTATATAAATACCCATATACTTGTGGTGCATATGTTGAGTACATAGATTCTTTTGATCCACTCAGTTATGATAATATGAAATTTACTGTGTTTATGGATAGGTTGAACCAGTCAGTCTTGACTGAATCCTGTAATTTGAAATTTTGTTCAGTGTAATTGTTAATTCAAATAGAAATTGTTTACCTTTTTTCCTTCCCTAGGTATGTATTCTTCTTGGATCCGTGCAATATCGATATAGTACATCAGAAAATCAAGTCTCTTGCCTTGTGTGTATCAGCTTGCCCAAGGAAAGAACTAAAAACTCTGGCTGATATTCAGAAATTTGCAGAAACTAATGGTATGGAAAAAAATATGTTTGCTTTTGTTCATATACCAGATATTTTCACAGGATTAAAAAAAGACTCATGCATTAGCTGAGCTAAAAATGAAATATGTACGAAGAAATACGAATAGAAATAACGTGCTCTTTTCAGTAAGCTAAAACGTTACTAAAGCTTACAGTATCCTAGTGTTCCGTCATGTCTCGGGCAGTATTGAAAGCTTGTTGTCAAAATAGGTGTACAAAGTGTAACAAGCACTTGAAGGAATGTCTCAGCTCCTAGGGAAATGAGCTGACATTGCTGCTCAACAGTAGTGCTGTTGAAATGTCCTCGTGTATATGGGGTTAGTGAGAGCGGTGCTGCTATTTAATGGCACTTGTGGCACAGAGAATGACTGTGTGTGTGTGTGAAAATATTCCTGCTTCTTTTCAGTGCTGCAGTGTGGTTCCTGTTGGTTTGCTTTTTGTTTTTTTTTTTTTAGTTTTCCCTAAGAGTAGTACTTTTTGATATTGCTAGCTCAGTTCCTGTTTTAACAGTCTACGGAATAAAATGCATAGGAAGTAACCAACTTTTGGACGTTCAAAAGAAAGTAAAGATAAAAACTTAATTTAAGGAAATTTCAGGGGTTTTCAGCTATTTAAGTGTTAACATTTCGTCCTAAACTTACCTTCTTATCTTTTAAAGTGCTGCAGTAAAATTTCTTTGCGAGGTGCTCAACTAAAGATGAGTCAGTCTGGATGACCCAGTTCAAAGGGGCGAAACCGCTTGATTACTTTCCATAAAGGAAACTGAAATGTCTGTTTCTGTTCTAATACAGGCTGTTTGAGTACTTCTTGCTTGAGAGCAGGGCGAGTGGAAGTGTCCCTAGGGTCACTGCTAATGCCCCTGGCTCTCCCACTGCACGGTGCCCACACACCTGGGTGTCTGACACTTGAAGCATCGCGCGGCGTCACAGCTTCTGTGGAGCTGTGCAAAGAGCTGTGCCCCCACGGTGTGGCTGGTGAATGAGAGCCTCCTCATGTGGTCTGTGCAGCCTTGTCAATTACAAGGGAAACTACTCAGTATCTACAGCTGTATTCTTCACTCCTCCTCTGAGCATGCTGTGTTTCTTTTAACTAATGCAGGGCAGTTATTTGTTGGTATGAAGTTAAGGTCATTTGTAGTGGAGTTCAGGTGTTTCTTGGAGTAATGAAGTGCAGCCGTGTCTTGTTTTATCACCAACACTGTTTCCATGTTTATAAATCAAGTCTCTTATTAGTTGTGCCTGAAATATTTTTAATGTAACTGTTTTTTAAAGTACAACAAAAAACACTTTTCCCAAAACATGCTATGCTATGTCTTGTCCTCATCATTCTTTCTTCTAACTGTATCTCTCTTAGTGCTTTAGATTTTAAAAGATATAATTCTTTTTACTTGATATGACAGAACAGTATTTTCAGTTTCCAGAAGCTTGATCAAAAGTATGAAACCTAGTGTTAGATCAGAACAAAATCATTAAGGAGTTCAATTCCGAACTTTCGTTATATAATGTTCAGCTTATCAAAAACAGGTATTATACTAAACTGATCTTTCATTTTATAGATGAACTCTATGCAAGACTGGAATCACACTGTTCAGAGAAATATTGTCATCTTCATGGTTATATTTCTGCTTAAATGTTCACCAGCCTTTGCAGGTTCCAAAAAGGGATGGTTTACAGGAAATGAACAGCTTAATTGCTGACTATCTTAACTGCTGCATATGTATAGTAGAAGTTCAAGTGTGATTCAGTCTCATAGTTGAGCAAGAACAGTGAATTAGTACCAAAACTATAGTACTCGGTAAGCAGAACATTTTTTCTAAGATATGACAGTGGATTTAAATTAATTAGCACTAGGATTATGTTTGGCAGTCTGTTTTAAGTGACCATTGACTCCAGTGTAAAAATGATAATGATGAAATCTGAGGACCTTGAACATGACTGCAAAGAGCTTAATTGCAATTTCCATGTTTGTTCTATAGTTAGAATATAGAGTTCAGCTGTCAAACTGAAAAATGAGGGCAAGCTTGTGATAATCAGTGCTGAATTTTCACAGGCTCGTGACTTCTAACGTTCAACAAGAAAACCATCGTAATGGTTTTTTAATATATGGGTAAAGAGTGCAGTCAACTCTTGGTTTTGCTCTTTTGAGCCTTTCTGAAATGCTCCCTGCATCCTGCATCCTGAATGCTCCCTGCATCCTGAAAATAGCAATTGTGCTGGAGACAGAATCTGTGTAGGTTGTTTCACGTACTTGTGTAGAGTTGGCCATTTTCACCTGGTTCGTATGGCATCCCTGAAATCACCTTACTTGTCCATGTACCTTGAAGTTCTTTCATAAATTACTGCTTAAGAGCCCTTCCACAACCCAAAGAAACCATCTGTTGTGACTCAGCCCATCAGGAGGTGGTGTGGTAAGTTAAAATGAATGGGTTTTTTTAATCTAAACATCTTTATCAAGAGATGTAACATAGTAAAACATACTACAACATCCTTGTATTGACTAATGATTTTATCAATGCCACATATTATCTTGCAGCTAACTTAGCATTTATGGTGTCTTTCCTGAAGTGAGACAGACACTTGATTGGCTCTGAACAAGAGGACACAACTGCCAATCCCAAAGGTTCAGAGCAGTTATGGCAGAGCTCTTATTCATTGTGCAGTACAGCTTGTATTTTTCTGTAAGCAAGATTATAAATAAGCATTTAGGGCAGGGAAAATGCTTGCTTGAGGCGTGAAGATCATTTTATGACAAAGCAGCCTTTAAGCTTTCTGAATCAGTAATGCACTTGCTCTTCTGCTATAATTTGAGAAAAACAGCTGATTTTGTGAATAACACAGCACTATTTCAGGGCGGTAACTTCACTCTCACCCCTACCCCACTTGCTGTCTCACAGTCAGGCATTTGCTGTGCCTTCCTTCCTAAGAAGAGAAGAAGCACATCCCTTGCAAAGCCAGGCTGATTTTAAGAAAACAAGGAAGTGTGTGTCTTTAATCTGTTCAGAACAATTGATATCCAGAACACTGGGAACCAGCTGAGACATTTTCCAAGAGGAGGAAAAAGGGAAAGAAAAAGAAAAGATCTTTGCCCTGTGCAAAGGTGCAAGTTGTAAAATACAGGGGTGCTCCTGGGAGTAAAACAGAAAGGTGCAGTGTTATCTAAGAAACGTTCTAATGCTGTTCTCAAAGAGCTATACTAATACTTGAGTTTGTAGAGCTATGAATTGGACAAAACTGAGAATGTTGTATGTTGTGAAGTGACTGCTGCTGCTCTCCCCAGGATTTTCTCACCCAGCAGAACACCTCAGGCAGGGAGTACTTGTGATTCAATGTTTTTGTCGGTCTTGGCACTTAAAAAGTGTGTATTTTGAGGAGTGTGACTGAAAACTGTTTTTCCCAGAAACCTGATTGATGCTTCAAAACTTAATGTCCGTGAAATATTGCAATGGTGTTTTCAAGGACTTGCCAAAGCATTTTGAAATATCCTTGAAGATATAATTCATCTGTGACTGTGCCAAATGAATAATGAAATTTCATTATTAAAAAGAAACACTAGAAGGCGGCCATAATTTCTGTTGTGTTTAATTCAGTGATGACTATACTGTCTGTTCAGTGTATTCCTATCTGTTATGTAAATATCTGGTTGCATAGTTAGGAACCTAAAATTAAATTTCTCTTTTGCAGAATGCTAGCAGGCATCTCTCTTGTCTGAGATCTGCAGCTAGACCAGGCTAGTTATGGTCTGGGTGGACTTAGAGCCAGAGATAAAGCTACATTGTTTGCTACAGAGACTGATCTGAAAGAAACCAATAAAGGAAATCAGCCTGGTTAGGTCGGAGCAGGTAATCTCTCTGAGCTATTAGGAGGAACCACAGGGGAAACAAAAAGGATTTTTCTTTTATCTGAAGATAATGACATCTTCATGTGCAGTAGTCAAAATATATCTTTGCAGTTCCCATTGGTACTTGCCTTAGAAATAGCCATTACCTTGATTGCTGCCAGCTTCTGATATTTTTCACCTGCTCTTCCCCCTGCCTTTGTTTTCACTGAAAGTATTCTATTTAAAACTTAATCCTTTGCTCATGATTTTCCTGAAGCATGTTGTACCATGCTAGTTAGAGGCATCTTATGGTTAAAGCAATTCTGTACCCACAGGTCTTTGGGAACCTGGCTATGTTAGTGTTAAATGTAATTTTTTTATTGACTTGAGTAAAAGTGCATTATGACCAGTTTGAGATAGTCATCCACCTCTATTCTACCTTGTTACCAGAACTGTCCATCAGGGTTGGCTTGCGTTGGAAATGGATCCTCTAGTTAGAATGAAGTTGTTTCCTTGATAGAAAGTGGCTGTATGTGGAGTCCTCCACTACTGTGTTGTGTTATTCATTACATTAATAAACCATTTGGAAAGGGGAAGAAACACTGAGGTAATAAATAATCTGCTTAATCATTTAGAGTTACATGGAAAAACCCCTGCTATCAATTGCAGTGGAATAAGGTGTCAAATCAAAAGGAATTCCCCCAGAATGAAGAGGTGGGAAACAACCATCGTTATGCTTATAGTGTTTTAATTTAAAAAGCTTATTCGTACTTGGGAAAGAGATTGTGAAGCTACTGAGGATCACAAGAGGATTAGGTGGAGGCACAGCATTGTCCAAAAGTGTAATGTTTATTAATTGTGAAGAGGGACTGTGTTTTGTGTAAACTCATGCTCTGTTGGCATCATGAAGCCTGTGTTCTGGTCCTTCCTTGACAATTTTTTTTTTTAAACTTATGCACAAACACACATATTTGTATATTCCCAGTATGTATACACATACTGTATGTGTATACAAGGGTAACAAGGATTATCATAATAAAAGACCAGTGATTCTTCTGCCTGGAAAAGAGAAAACTATCAGGAACAATAAGGTCATTGAAAGCAGGAATAGCTTAAAAGAAGGTTAAAAAATTATTATTCTATGATCTCATAACCTGACTATTGTGAAAATAGAG